TGTGTTCGCCTTACAATTCAAGAATTTTTGCTGCTAATTATTAATAATGAGTCATTATTTATTCTTGAAAATCTTCCGTATGATCAAAAACTTATAAAACTTGCTTTTTATCAATTTACGATCTCCAGGTTCGGAAGTTTTTGAGTTTTGACATTAAAAACTCTTTTTACTTTATCATTTGCTTACTGTTTTCTTTGCAGCTTATACTTTTAAAAAATAGTTTTGAAATGAAAGAAACTTGTGATGTGCTAAAGTAAAGAAAAATATATACATCCAAGTAAATTGGTTTTCTATAAGCAGTGGTCAACAATTGAAAAAGATTTGTTATCTAAATTTTAGATGAAAATAATGAAGGAAAGGATTTTATGACAAAACAGGTTTTGCTATTTACGTTTCAAATATGACAGCTTCTTTTGATAACTTTATGGCATTTGATTGACTTTCGTTTCAATTCGTCTCTTTTTTTTTTTCCCCTCAAATAATTGTTGTAAAACCTGCTGCTTTAAAATTTTTTTCATGCAAATCAGATAGCAGTTTTAATATTTATTAATTACTTTTTTTTTGCAATAGCCTTAAAAATAATTTGACAAGATTTTTTTTAGCTATTTAGAAAACAAAAAAAAAAAAGAATCCTAATTTTAATCGATTGTTTTTGATATTAAATCTTGCTTAATTTTTCAAGAACTTTTCATTGTTGAATAGTTTGCATTTCTGCAAAACTTTGAGTAGGTAAAGATGGTTTTTTTTTTTTGAGGAATAAAAGAAGCATAAAAAACAACAGGTTTTTTAAAATCATTTACTACTTTTTTTTAAATTCTATTTTGAACGTTTGTATAAAAAAAAAGATGATTTTGATTGATGAAATAATACTGTAAAACCCCCAAAAGAAAATTTATATTGGAATAGTTGGATATTTTGTTAAAACACCGAAACAATCAAAAAAAAAAATTAACACTGATAAACGGCTTTCTGCAAATTTCTCTTTTTTTAATAGACTTTTGTCTAATTAACATCAGTAGCTGAAAGCATTAATATATTGCTGATGCTGTTCTATTCTTAATGAAATGACAATAATTTTTTACTGGTATTAGGTAGAAAAAAAAAAATTTTTTTTAGTGTTTAAGAATACCAATATAACTATTTTAGCAACCTATCAAGCAAAAACAAAAAAAAAAGAAAAGAATTCAAATGAATTATGGGACATAAATTGGTGTATGTGTGTGTTTATTCCTTTCAATTTCATCTTAAATTCTTTATAAGCTGTATATTCGATTAAATTTTGCTCAAAAATTAATAATAAA